ACAGCAGAACGCTGCGTTTCTAAGCATAAATCTTTGACCAAATGAGATTGAGGTCTATAAGCAGGTCTTTCTTTGTGGTCTTCATTCATCCAGAGAGTGAGGCGTTCACTGTGACGTGCTTCTGGTGCTGTGGGAGGTGAAGCTCATGTGGCGGGACAGACAGGGGATCTTCTTGGCCACCAGTCTGTTGAAGTGACTCTGGAACTTTTTCCCTAGAAAGGTGTAAAACATGGGACTGATGCAGCAGTACAGGTAGGCGACGTTCCGGCTGACGTAGAAGGCATAATCCAGGGCCTCCGAACACCTTTCGTCTCCCATGTTGGATTCTGAGGAGGAAATCTGAAGCGCTTTGAGGAAGCAAACGATATTGTAGGGCGTCCAGCAGATGAAAAAGGTGAAGACGATGACAAAGATCAGCTTGATGGCGTGACACTTCTCCTTCATGCGGGTGGAGAGGATGCGCAGGGTGATCCTGGCGTAGCAGTACATGACCATGACCAGAGGGCACAGGAAGAAGAGCAGGAACTGCTGATAGTAACTGACCAGACTCCATCTCGCCATGATGCTTGACGATAACCCAGACTCCTCACACAGCAACCCGTAAAGCGAGTTCTCCGTCACGTTTCGAAGGACTAACTCTTTAACGCTCGCTGCGATACTAATGCACCAAACAGCAACAGAAGAAACAATGGCGTACATCTTTTTTCTTCGCTTGGCTCCTTCGATGGCGTGCACCACAGCCAGGTATCGGTCAAAGGTCATGAGGGTGAGGAAGAGGATGGAGCTGTAGAAGCCTATGAAGTAAGCGCTGCTGACCATCTTACAAAGCGCCTGTCCAAAGATCCACTCAGAGGAATGATATTCAGCCCAGAAAGGCAAACTGGAGGCAAAGAGGAAGTTAGAGAGCACCAGGTTGATCAGGAAGATGTTGGTCACCGAGGTTAACTTCTCGTACTTGCAGATGATGAGTAGAACCAGACCGTTTCCAAAGTAACTGAGGAGGAAGTTGATGTAATAGAAAACTGGAACAAACTTTGCACCAAACTGATTTACAGTCTTTTTGGCGCACAGCTTGACCTGACTGCTGACCACGTAGTTCGGGTCGGTGGCGTTCGCAGTTTGAAACAGAAGATCCAGGAACAAACTATATTGGTCATCCTGGTTGTCATCCATGTTGATCTTCTACCTGTGGAAAATGGAACCAATGAAGGTCAGACAAAAAAATAAAAGGTTTGAATTCAACATTCAGACACGACGACATGAATCTGAATCAATGAAACAGCACTAATTCATTCATTTATATATTGATTAAAGTCGGTTATAGAGAGAGATTCATTTATTTCTTTTAAAACTCATCTAAAGAAGAAAAATGTTTCGATATTCCTACTTTAAATTTATTTTTATAAATAAGATTTTTAACAAATTCATAAAATTAAAAAAGTGCCTCATTAAACATGAACCATAACGATAATCCAGCGCTGCGTGACCCGAGCCCGTGACATCATCAATGACCCCTCACCCCCCCACCATGCTGCCCTCTGGGAAGAGGCTTCCCAGCATTCAATGCAGGACCAGCAGGTTCTGCAGCAGCTTCTCCCCCCCCCCGCCATCACACTGATGACACCAAACCAATTACTGCAGATTTGCACCATAGATACAGTATTAATTCTCTGAACTTCCAGATCAATGCACTTTTTTTGCACCATTTTTTTCTCCCACACTGTTGATCACTGCTGAACTTTATGGAATGGAAAAGCTCTACTTTCGTACTAAATTAAACTTCATTCTGTATAAACTAAATGACAAACAAAATGACAATAAAAGTTGTCTAAGTCTAAGAGTAGTTGCTGCCCTCTGCTGGTGGTTCTGTGATACTGAGGAAATTAAAACTGGTCAGTATTTAACCCTAAAGCAGATAAGATCCTGCTGGGCAGCAGAAGCAGTTTTTGGTTGTTTGGATGAAGAATCCATAAACATCACATTCATTAAAAGCCGCTCTGCAAAAATTGTTTTTTAAAGAGACAAACAATAAGAAGATATTCCTCAAAAAAAGAAAGAAAGAGCTTTTCCTATAGAATTCGATGATTTTTTTTTATTCTAATTATTTTAGAATGAATGTGACCTTGATGACTGAGCAGCAGCTTTGTGCATGCTAACATGTTAGCACATGTTTTATTGAAGCAGTTGACCCTAACAGATCTATGCCTTTTTGATTGTCCTGCAGGTTTCTGCTTCCTCCAAATCAACAACAAGCATCAGATCTTAAACTCGATTTATAAGTATTTCCAAAAACTATAGACTTGGTGGATCTTGAGTTCGGCAACAAAGACCCAGTAAAAAAAAAAAAAAAGTCATCAGCAAGGAATCCAAAGCTAATTACTAAGACCTGGGAGACTTTTAGGATATGTACATTTAAAAAACACACTCTTGAACATTTCGTCCCCAAAAGCAAAATGGAGAAAAAATCTAATAGTTTAAAAGCAAACCTTATAGCAGCAGATTTAAAAGAGAAATTCATCAGGTTTTCTCTGAACAGAGAAAAACTATTACAGAAACAGAAACAAACTCTCTCTAAAAAAAGCTTCACTTTGACGTTAATCTGTTTCAGAAATGAGCAGAAAGATTCTATTAGTATTTCTCTTTTAAATTTAAATTTCCCTGAAAGTGCTGGCTGAGGATAAGCAGCCATCTTTAGAGAGGAATCCATCTGACAGGCTTTAATAAATCTAAGCTGCAAAAACTGCTTCAGTTTTAATTTCCTCAGTATCACAGAACCACCAGCAGGTGGCAGTGTCAGCTGGTACCCACAGAGTTTATGCAAAATGAAATTCCGTTTAGTGCAGCTTTTCAGACAGTAAATGAACTTTTCCATCCATAAAGTTCAGCAGTGATCAAATGCAAACAAATATGGAGCAAAAACGTTTTGATCTGGAAGTTCAGAGCATTAATATATAATTGGTTTGGTTTAACTCTCCTCCATAATATTGCAACAGACACACATAAGTGATGCAGACAAACATCTTTTTCCATCTGAGCAAAACTTTCAGGAGGTGAAGAAAATACAGCAGAAAGCCTTTAGCTGCAGAGAGCGCTCTGCTGATCAGAGACAGATCATATCTCTGCAACATATCATCTACTCGGTGGTTTTCTATGACATCCAGAATAGAATAATAATCTACCTACGATCAGAGATGTGATATTTCCATGGAACTGACAGAATACTGTGAAACTGATGCAGGTTTCCTGATGTTTGATGTTACATAAAGCTTATAGTCATGGTGGTTCAGGTCAGTTATGCTGCTTGTCATGATACGCAGGTTTTACTAGCCCAAATGCAGAACTCACAGACACAGAGGGAGGATTAAAAAGTCCAATATTTATTGGAAACACACAGGGTTCTGCAGGTTCTCAGGTTCAGACAGGCATGGTGGCACAGAAGGACAACAATCCGGCTCAGAGTGGAGCTCTACTCCAGCTTAAATAGGGAGAGCTCTTAATGAGCTGATGGGAAACAGCTGTCCATGCTGAGCCCAAGCTCCCCAGGCATGGATCCACGGCGCCCTCTGGTGGGCAAGGCCCCGGATCCTAACACTGCTAAACGCTTAGTGGCGGCCTGGTGGTTGGAACATGGGGCTTTGAATCCTGAGGTTGTGAGTTGGATCCCCCACTCCCACAGACTGCCAAGACCCTTAACCCCCACACTGTTCCCCGGGAGCCACACAATGGCAGCCCTCTGCTCCCCAAGGGGGGGGGGGGTTAATAGGTTAAATGCAGAAAATTCATTTGGTTGCTCTGTGACAGTGGAATGACAATAAAGTTGAATTCTATTCTTTTCTATTAGGCTGGTGGAAGATGGAGTGTTTTTTTATTTTCTGTCAGATTCTATAAAAACATCATCAGTCTTGGATGTTCAGTGAAAGCTCGTCCTCCGTGTTGCTTCATCCTCATCCTCAGTGTTGCTTCGTTCTCATCCTCAGTGTGTCTTCATCCTCATCCTCAGTGTGTCTTCATCCTCATCCTCAGTGTGTCTTCATCCTCATCCTCAGCATCCAGTCTGCTGCAGGGCGGCCATTATTGGCTTCATCTGGTTCCATAGAAGGAGAACTTTAACCGATATTAAGAGTAATGAATTTAACTGCGTTGCTAAATAACTAGGATCAGTTTGCTGCTGTTTTTCACCATGAATCTCTACATAATGCTGCACATAGAAAGAAAAGTTCCCTGAATTAAAGACTGAATAAAAAGGAGTTAATTTAGGAAATAGATTTAAACAGTGAAATGTCTGCATGGCTCATTCCTTCAGTTCCAATTTATTCTGCAAATAAAAAGCAAACATTGCAGCCCGAACATCCAGCTGCACATTATGAGACCTTAAAAAACTTATGCATTATTTTATGCTAAATCTTTGTCAATATTTTGATAGTTGAGATAAACTTTTAGATAATATTCAAGTCTTGATTTCAGGATGTTTGGTTTCGCCTGTTTCTGTGTTTTTAAGGAGCAGTTAGTCTGATGAGCGAATTATAAACGTCCTTCTAATGACTGCAGCTCACATGTTGATGCAACCAACAGATTCCAGAAGCTTCCAGAAAAAAGTTGCATTAAACAAATACTGCATCACAGATTTATGTTTAAACTATTAAACGTATTAACATCACTTATAGATCTAAAACACATAGAGTTTCTTTCAGCTTCATGTTCTAGTTTGGCTCAATGATATTCTTCATTAAATTAAACATAAATCGTATTAATTCTTTAAAGCCTAGGTCTTCAACAGGGGGTCCGCGACCCTTAGGGGGTCCACAGAGGTACTGCATGGGGGTCACGAAAGTTTTGGTTGATTAGACTTTTTTTTTTATATTCCCCTTACAATTATTTCCATTAATTGAAATGTTTT